ACACGTATACATGTGTTACATTACACATAGATGTATACAACATGCATGCACACATGTGTATATGTACACACATTTTCCAAATCTCATTCACTCTTACATGACCCTAGATTTGATGTGGCATAATGGAAAGATTATTGGTTCTGGGGGAGGAGGACCTGGGTCCAAATCGCACCTTCAGGGTTCACCGTCTACCTGGCCTTAGGCAAGTTTTTTAACCTCCCTGGGAGGTTTTTTAACCTCCCTTTCCTTATCTGTAAATTAAGAGGTTGAACTAGGTAACTTCTGAGGTCTCTTCCAGTTCTAGATCTGTGATCTTGTGAAAACTGCTCTTTCTCAACAACAGGACCACTTACATATCCCACTGAAACTCAGAACTCAGAAACCTTTTACAGAGAGTAAATAACGCCCCTGGGAAAAACTGACTGTATTCCTTTATAATGAATCAACAACATTTTTAATATTCTTATTGGTTTTTACCTCTTCTGTTTGCTTAGTATTACTTCTTTGAGCTTTAGTGAAAGTAAATTAAAATGGTGTATATCCCAGCTCAATTACATCAAAACCCTTGAGTTCTATTTTATTTGGGAAAAAAAAATCTTAAAGTGAAAGAACTACAAATAAAAGTCACTCATAAAACTTTCTTCACCCGTGCCTAAAAAACACATAGATTATAGACTCTTTAAGGGTAGAGATTATCTTTTGCTTTTCTTTGTATCACCAGCCTTAGTACAATAGACAAGTACAAGGCACTTAAATTGAGTATCTTCAAATATGATTTTTATATAAGAATAATTGAGAAAATGGGGGTTCCTTAAGGATTATTCCATTTGAAGTGAATTATTCTAATAATATATATCAGTTGTCATTTATTTAGTATAGAGGTTATCAAACTACATGGTCTCAGGATCCTTTTCCACTCTTAAAAATTACTGAGCATCCCCACCAAAAACCTTTTTTGTTTATGTCAATTATACCTATGGATAATTACCATACTGAAAAATAAAATCTCTTTGTATTATTATGAACATTTTTGACCTTGTAGATCCCCTAAAAGATTGTTGGGGACTCTAGGGATCTCCAGACCATACTTTGAGAACTGTTGATAACATACTTTAAGCTTTTCAAAAGACTTTACATAAAAATAACATTTTAGCACAATTAATTCCTGAATTACAGAATTGAACATAAAATAAAAGGGTCATAGGAGTTACAATTTGTCATTAATATGAATATTTCTAATACTCAGAATAACTTAGTTGTTCATGGTTGTTTTTTGAACAATTTTCTGTATTGAATGTTCTGTGGTGTTTAAAAAGGTTTGAGAAAATAGTTTCTGGATAATTTAAGCATTTTATCAATAATGCCAGCATTTTAATAAAAGGATGATCATCTGGCTCTCTCTTAGACCAATGGCCCTTCATGGCAGTGGGTTCACAGTTTATATGTCCTTTGAAGAGTAGGTGTTTCTGAGGGTGGCAAATAACTCTGATTGGTTAGCAATTAATGAGAGAATGAATACTACAATGAAAGGGTGGGTTATATTACAATGTGACTTGGGTCACCCAAATCTCGGTTAAAAGGACTTATCAATTTCCATATCAGCTGTCTGACAAAAGGGAGAATCAACACTTTCTAGAGCTGTCTGAGCAAGCACAATGAGCAGGAATAGACCCATTAGGCCAAACTCAGAATTTCTTTTACTGTCTTTGATTAGATTGTGGCCCAGGTAAATCTTTAAGAAAGATTTCCCATACTGGTTGGTTTCTAGATGAGGAAGTAAAAAGAGGAAAAACCTTGGTCCTAATACAATAATTAGTTATTAATACCAGAGAGAAATAATCTTTTCTCATAGTTCTCTTGGTTCTTCTCATTTTACTCTCCATTATTTCATGTCTTACCATGTATTTTCTAAAATCGACCTATTCATCATTTCTTACAGCACAGTAGTAGTCTACCGCAATCATGTACACAACTTGTTAAGCCATTTCCACAATTGACAGGCATCCCCTCAATTTCCAGTTCTTTATCACCACAAAGAGAGCTGCTAATAAATATTTTAGAACATATAGGTTCTTTTCCTTTTCCCCGATCACATTGGGAAATAGATCTAATAGTGGCAGTGCTAGGTCAAAGGCTATATACAGTTTTTTTAAACTCTTTGGGCAAAATTCCAGATTATTCTCCAAAACGGTTGGATCAGTTCACAGTTTCACCAACAGTAGCGCATCCCCTCCAACATTTGTCATTTTTCCCTTCTATCATTTTAGCCAACCTGATAGGTGAGAGATGCTATCTCAAAGTTGTTTTAATCTGCATTTCTCTAATCAATAATGATTTAGAGCATTTTTTCATATGACTATATTTAGCTTTGATTTCAAATATATTTTTCTATATTACTCTCATGTTTTCTATATTACTCTCTATATAATCTCTATTACTATATATATGGAGAGAGTATTTTCATATGACTATATATAGCTTTGATCCAAAGACTTTGACCATTCATCAACTGGAGAATGACAAGATTTAAAATCTGAAGAAAAATGGAAAAAATATTGGATCTAGTATTAAAGATCTGTGTTTAAATTCCAATTCTGCCCCTTAGCATTTCCTCATGTGTAAAATGATGGTCAGACCCAGTGACCTCTATGATCTCTTTCAAGTCTTCCAACTCTACATTCCTACTTATGTGACCTCAAGAAAGTCACTTAATTGGGTAAGCCTGAAATTTTCCAGAGGAGGGCAAGTGGGATGGGAAGAGGACTTTAAGACCATGTCATGTGAGGAAGGATCCACCCTAGCATGTTGCGCCTAAAGATCAGAAGAGTTAAGGGAAATGGGTTTACTGTTTTAAAGTATTTCAAAGGCTGTCACGTGGAAGAAGCATTAGTCTACCTCTGGCCCCAGACAGCAGAATTAGAATTAATGGTGGAAAGTGCAAAGAGGCTTGACTCAAGGAAGAACTTCCTAACAACTACAGCAGCCCAAAAGTGGAATGCGCTCTCTCAAGAGGGAGATTCTTCCTCACTAGGAGTCTTAAAGCAAAGACTGAAATAACCACTTGTTGAATATATTGTAAAATATTCTTGTTACAGTGTAAGTCATAACAACTCTAAATGACTAGATGACTCTAGATGGCCCTTCCATTGCAGAGATTCTATGATTCTGTGAACCTCTCTGGACCTCAGTTTCCTCATGTGTAAAATAAAAGTTAACTTAGCTAATCTGTAGCTTTAAATATATGGTCATATAAACATCTGAAATAACAGCAAATAAAAACAGGTCGGCCAGCAAATGTTTCACCATATAGATGCATTCATAGCTCTTTGAATAATTATTTTTTGACTCAATTTTAGAATTCATCAGTGGAAGACACTTCCTTTACAAGCCTGCAACTTGACTGCCTCAGGTACTGAGAGGTTAAGACAGTCAAAAAGTGTTTATTAAGCACTGGGGGTTACAAAGACAAAAGAGTCCCTGCCCTCAAAGAGTTTCTATTCTAATGGGACAGTGACAGGTGAATAACTAGGCACACTAAAAAGATGCATTGTAAGTGGAAGGTAATCTCAAAAGGGAAGGCATTAGCAGTTGGGGAGACCAAGAACTGCATCTTGGGGAAAGTGAGAATTCAGCTGAGTCTTAAAGGAAGCTGGGGAAAATAAGAAGGAAAGGTGAGGCAAGCAGGGGATTCCAGACACTGTGAAAGCACGGAGATTGGGTGTTATATATGACAAAGTAGGTCAATGCAGCTGGATCATAAGAGGCCTAGAAGGCAGTACAGTGTAATAAGGATGGAAAAGGGAAGAAGGAGCCAAGTTATGAAGAGCCCAGGGTCACACCGCCAGTACACGGCAAAGTTGGGACTGGAACCTCAAGTATTCCCAGCTTCCAGGCTGGCTCTCTAATAATTTGCTTCTTAAACAGTATTATTGTGCTTATGATATCATTGATCATATTCATTGCTTACTTATTTCACAGGATTTATGAATCTTCAGGACATATATAGTACAAATATGTATATACATATACATACACACATATATGTACACACACACACATGCACATACATAAATACATACATACATATACACAGAGAGAAATATGGGCTATACAAAAAACTTAGTGCAGTTTTAGGCTTTAATAAGCTTGAAATTGTACCAAGATTTGAGATGTAATTCCTCTGCAATTATCTTCCATTTATAACGTATATATCTTTCACACGATTTTTTACATTTTGACTCTCCCATTACAATGTGAGCTCAAGGGTAGGGGACTGTGTCATTGTGTTTCTCAGCATCCCCAGCATTTAGCGCAATCCTTGGCACATAGTAACAAATATTTGTTGACTTAATATCATATTTAACATATTCTCTCTCAATCTCTCTTCATATGTTTGTAAAATATATATATACACACATATATACACACATACATATATACACACATACACACACATTTTGTTTATGTTGTTGTTTAGTCATTTCAGTCATGATCAACTCTTCCTAAGTCTACTTCGGGTTTTCTTGGCAAAGATTCTGCGGTGGTTTGCCATTTCCTTCTCCAGCTCATTTTAGAGATGAGGAAACTGAGGCAAACAGAGTTCGGTGACTTACAGTATGTGTATGTGTGTATGTGTATACATAGACATATTGTGAGCATATATGGTATGTATATTTTGTATGTATAGTATATGCTATACATCATATGTGTAATATGTATATATAACATCTACTGTGTGTATGTGTGTATGTGTGTATATACAAACTCACATTGTGGGTGTATATATACGTAATATGTATATATTCTGTCTATATATACATGTCATGTACATATGGATATAGTGTATATATGTACACACATATTGTGCATATGTCTGTGTATGTACACACATGTACATGTAACATATCTGGAATACTATTTCCTGGAAATCTGTGAGTTTTATAGATTCGGAGTTGTCAGAAAATTCACATTGTGTTGTTATTTGTGCTTTTATATTGCAGTTATGGGGAAATCCTCTTTAAAGGAGACTTCTTTTGCCATGAACATGAACTCTGTTCACTCACGCGAGACAGTGTGTGTGTTTGGAACGGGAGACTTCGGAAGATCACTCGGCAATAAGATGTTCCAATGTGGCTACTCCGTGGTCTTTGGAAGCCGCAACCCTGAGCTGTCCGGTCTGCATCCCAAAGGGATTGAAGTCTTGAGTTATAAAGAAGCTGCCCAGAGGTCTGATCTTATAATCATTGCAATCCACAGAGAACATTATAATTTTCTTATAGAGTTAGCTGAGGAACTCCAAGGAAAAATATTGGTGGACATCAGCAACAACCTTAAAATTAATCAATATCCTGAATCCAATGCAGAATATCTTGCTGAACTGGTGCCGGGAGCCAAAATCGTGAAAGCATTTAACACAATCTCAGCCTGGGCACTCCAATCAGGCACCCTGGATGCAAGCAGGCAGGTGAGATTAAATGATAAATCTGCTATCAAATATAAAGTGGCATATTTTATTTTTTAAAATAACTACAATTTAAATTCCTATCAAGAAAATATGAGATATATGTGTATATATTTGTAGCTGGACTTCCAGAAGGATTTTTTTTTTAAAACAGCTTTTGAATGGGCAAAAAAGAGACCACGGAATCCATATATTAAAGCTCGTGCATTTTGCTCTTAGGAGAATCCCTTAATACCTCATGTGGTACCCTTTTACACTTACATCACAACCACTTATAAGAAGCTTGCCTAGTGGGTTTCATTTCCCCCAGCAGATGAAAAACAGCAAATTAAAAGGGAGAAAAAAGACTACTAGAGGTGATGATGATGATGATGATAACCATGTAGCTCTTTTAAGTTTTGCAAAGCACAATACAAATATTACCTCATTTGATCCTCACAACAACCCTGGGAGGTAGGTGCTATTATTATCCCCATTTTACAGGTGAGGAAACTGAGACACACAGTGCTTAAGTGACTTGTCCAGTACCACAAAGCTAGGAATTATCTGAGGCTAGATTTGAACTATACAAGTAGAGAGACTGACAGCCTGATATTGAGGAAAGAGATAGAGAGATTATGGCCTCATGGGATCATAGATGCTGGAACGGACTTGGGAGGTCACCTAGTCAAACCCCTTCATTTTTCAGGTGAGGAAACTGAGGCCTGGAGCAGTTAAATTATTTGCCCAAGGTCATAGAGACAGTAAGTAGTAGAAATGGTATTTGAACATAGGTCTTCTGACTCCAAGAAGGCAATGGATGGATAGATCCATAGTCAAGAAGACCTGAGCCTCAGACACTTCCTAGATGTGTGAGCCTGGGCCAGTCATTTAACCTCTCTCTGTCTCAGTTTCCTGAACTGCAAAAGGGTGATTATAATAAATAGCATCTACTTCCACTGTTATCGTTAAGATCCAAAGTGACAATTACTTGTCAAGAATCTAACATGGTGCCTAGCACATAGTAGGCACTTAATAATTGTTTATTTCCTTCCTTCCAAATCCAGCACCATCTCCCTTATAGATAACTGCCTACAAATATAGCAAGCTAGAGACGATTCCACCGAAGCAAACAGCACTGTCCATTCCAACGGTTCCTGAGGCATCACAGTATAGAACAATTCAGCTGATTCCAACAAGCATTTATTAAATACGGACTGTGTGCAAATAAGTGTTCTATTAGGGGTCAGCAAACGATAGGCCCCAGCCCAAATCCAGCCTGTTGCCTATTTTTTTGTCTGACCCAAGAGCTAAGACAAATTAGCTCTAATCTGGATGGTGAAGATTTTTTTATTATTTTAATAATATTTTATTTTTTCCAATTACATGTAAAAACAATTTTTAATGGAGTTGGGTTTTTTTAAGGGCTGTCCCTCCTCTCAAGAAGACTTTTACCCTGTAGTCAAGAAAAGCTTAAATGGTTTGCCAGTTAAGAAGACAAGGGAAAATATAAGCCATTTCAGAAAGTTTTCCAAAGTGGTTAAGATCAAACATTTAGGTGCTTTAACGGAATAAACCTCCAGTAATCCAAAACACTTGGCTGTGCTGAATGATTTATTACATAAAGTTTTAATGTACTTTTAAAGCAGTCTGAAAAGTTACTATATCTAGTGAAAATTGACTAAGATGATGCATCTTTAAATAGGATAGGTTAGAAGTCAAGAGATAGAAAGGATAAGCAAAAATGTAAATGCCCCCAGGAAACAAATCCAGAAAATGAATGGAGCTGGTTTACCAAGTAGGTTCTTTGGAGCATAGAAAAATACATCTGTTCTCACTGAACATTTCATTCTGATGATAGAGAGTAGATTACGTACTTTTTCTCAGACCTGACATGAAGGACAGTCTCATTTGTATAAACAATCCCCTTTTTTCCCCGCCTACACTTTGAACTGGCCTTTCAGTTAAGTGGGACCCTACGATCTACACAAAGTAATGGTCAGTTGCCATTATTACAAAAAGGCAGGAATGGAGGTGAGGGGTGTGGGGCAGGGGCATGTAGAACTATGCAGGTGTGTTAGTAGGGCTAACCTGTTCATGACTAGAGTGACTCAGGTTTAGTAACAACAGAATAATGTTACCTGCAGTCATCCACCATCTACAATACCTTCCCTCAATCAAACATATACACATACCCATACACATTTTAAAGAAATATTTTACCTTGGATTACTGTCCCCAAAACATGTCGGGTCCAAAATGTCAAAGGGATTCATACTGTATTATTAATTTTTCTAGTAGCTTCTTGGGAAATTACCAAGGACTTTAAATTCTAAAGGGCATTACTTTTACATAGGATCTTACTATCTAGTTTTGGACAGCAAGGAGATAACATTCTGAACATTATTTCATCCAGGCATTTGTCTGTGGAGATGACAAGGAATCTAAGCAGAGGGTGATGGATATTGGCCGTACCATTGGTCTTACTCCAATGGATCAAGGATCTCTCAAGGCAGCCAAAGAGATTGAAAACTACCCCCTGCAGCTCTTTCCAATGTGGAAGTTCCCTCTATACCTCTCCGCTGCCTTATGTGTTTTCTATTTTGTTTACTGTCTATTAAGAGAAGTCATCTACCCCTACATTCAAGAAGAGAAAGACAACACATTTTTCTTGGCCATTTCTATTCCAAATCGTATCTTCCCAGGGTTGGCTCTCAATCTTCTTGCCCTGGTTTACCTCCCTGGGATCATTGCTGCCATCCTGCAGTTGTACCGAGGTACCAAATACAGTCGCTTCCCAAACTGGCTCGACCACTGGATGCTTTGCAGAAAACAGCTCGGACTTGTGGCGTTGGCCTTTGCCTTCCTACACGTCATGTACACGCTTGTGATACCCATCCGCCATTATGTGAGATGGAAGTGGAGCAGCAGAATAATTAATCAGGTAAATCTATACTTTGCATAATTACATAATTGTTTAAAACACATAGGTCATGTTCCATTTCTGGTAATCCTTCTTCTAAGCCTCTAACCCTTTGTGTTCACAAATGGTTACCAGACTCAGAAAATCGGGTGGCCTTAAAAAAGAGATTTTTGAGGCAGAAAGCCTGAATTCAGTCCTCCCCAAGCCACTTATTCACCCTGTGAGGTTCAGCAAGTTGATAGCTCTGTGCCGTGCTTTCCTAATGGATGAAACCAAATGAATAATACTTACTCGAGCCACTTATTTCAGAGGATTAAATGAATGAATTTAAGGGAAAGGATTTTGAAATCATAAAGCGCTATGTAAATGCGGATTATATTATTTAATTAACCTAGCCCAGACTTCCAGACACTTTTCTGGATGAGATTATCCCTCCTCCAACCCTCTCCCCACAGACTCTACCCACTCCTCCCTTCTCTCTCATTCCCTCACTCCCCTTTCTTTCCCCTACCTGCTCCAGCCAAGGGCTAAGCTAGGATCAGATTGGTGTTTGGGGACAAGACAACCAAATTATAAGATCATCTTGGTGACCCACATTTCCTACTGAAAATGCTCTTTGATCTTTGATGTGTGAAAAACTGGTCCCCCAACTTCAGAAAACCAGCAACACAGAGCAAATATCAATCTCTTTGTCCAACACAGAGGATCAAAGTTCAGAGGGGACCAACTCAAGGAGAACCTGTAGACTGAGCAGAGGCACAGTGACTGGTTAAGTTGCAGAGAGGGACAGAGTAAGTCAGTCAGTAAGCACTTATTAGGCACCTACTGTGTGCCAGGCACCATGGTAAGCACTGGGGATACAAAGAAAGGCAAAAACAGTCCTGATCTCAAGGAGCTCACATACAATGAGATAAAAGTGGAAAGATAAGATGGTACCAGACTATGGGGGGCCAGGCTAAAGAGCTAAGACTTTATTCATAGAACAAAAGAGAGGTACTAAAGTTTTTTCTGATGCAGCAGAATAACATGACCTCCAGTTCAATGCATTCTCCTCATCATCTCTGATTCATGTAGCAAGATTTGGTTTATAAGGCACCTTAAATATATATAAATTATATATAAATATATAAATTTAAAAATTTATATCATCTGAGCCTCAACAACCCTATAAGGCATTACAGGTAGTTTATCCCCATTTTACAGATGAGGAAATTGATTCACTGAGGATAAGCAATTGGTCCATGGTCACACCAAGATTATTCGGACACTGATAGTCTTTGGTTTTGGGGGAAGAGATCGTGGAGGCATAGTCTCAACAGCTATTAATAAGGACTCATATGAGGTAGGATAGTAGCCATGGGAAATGAGAGGATGTGCCAATAGGACATTCCATTCGGGCGGATATGCCCTTCAGGCAGTTGGCAGTGCCAATCTGGAGCTCCAAAGAAGTCATAGCTGAAGATGAAGATTTTGGAATCATCTTCATAGAGATGGTAGTTGCAGCTAGAGAAGATCTACCAGGTCTCAAGGACTGGTGATCAGGACAGTTCAGAGGAGACAGCAGATGGATTCCTACAAGTCCTATCAGTGAGGAAAGGGAAGGTCCTTGGAGCCCAACTATTACCACTCTTTCCATGGGATTAGGCAGTCCCCCTGGTCCTATCAATCACCAGCCACATGCCCTTCCTAACTCAAAGGAATACAGCTGATCAGGCCCTGCATATGCTGTTCAAGCCCCTGGGAAAGGGCATCAATCTCTTGGCCTTTCATGAAATTCTCCAAGGAGGTTCTGACCATGCTATAACCAGGATCCCAAGAACACCAATCACCATAGTCCTTCAGAACCAGTTTAGGATCTCCCTGCTTTACTCACTTCTGAGCCACGGGGAACAGCTGGTGTCCCTGAATTGTTCTCTGAAGCCACACAGCAGTAGCGATCTTGCAACATGGACAGACATGGTGGTTCTGGTTGCCTGGGAGATTCCCCACACGTCCACAGCTTCTTCTGGCAGAGCCACTCACTGTCCCGGCCACCTCCTCTCCCTGTTCTGCCGTCATGTGGACAAACAAACAGCACAGCAACTAGAAGCCAGAATGGACTATATCCCTGTTGCCACCAACCTGACTTGTTTGGGAAAATTATCCTGCCCACCCACATACCATATCATACACAGGGCTGAAGTAGAAGAATGGAAAATTCACTGAAGGAGCTGTGCCCTTGGCATTCGTATGAAGGCTTTTTTGCTTTTCCTGAGTAAATGCAATGGGGACCCCAGGTTTCTTACCCTTCTCCTAATGAGTACAGAAACCTAGAACCTTCAGGAAGGGAGAGCTGGGCAGCTCGTGATTTAAATTACAGTGCTCATACAAAACTAAAAAAAAAACAAAAAAAGCAAACTATTATATCAATGAGTCTGAGGCTGCCTCTAGTAATGCCAGGAAAGAGTCTAGTCTGTCTGTTGTGTTATTGCCTGAGAGGTCCAGCCTTATAAGATTAGCACCATGGCAACTCTGGGCCAGGCAGCTGAGGGTTCAGGTAGCTTTTAGAAGGCCGTTATTGACTGGAAAGAGCAATTTCAAAAGAATGGTGAGTAGAGGAATCTGGTTATTAGGGGCTGAGGGGGGAGCAGGCAATGAACTAGGAGAAATATTTG